TGCAGGGCTGGCTGTGGTGGCACCACCCACCCTGACACAGGCAGGGGCTCTCGGATGATGCTTTTGCTCAACTCCACAACTCGCAGCTACAGGGAGCTACTGGAGAGGGTACAGCAAAGGGCCACAAAGATGATTAAGAGCCTGGAGCATCTCTCTTATGAAGAGAGGCTGAGGAACTTGGGTCTTTTTAGTCTAGAGAAGGCTGAGGGGGGATCTGATCAATGCTTATAAATACTTAAAGGGAGGGAGTCAGGAGGACACGGCTGGTCTTTCTCAGTGGTGCCCAGTGACAGGACAAGAGGAAATGGGCACAAACTTGAATATAATAAGTTCCACCTAAACATGAGGAGGAACTTCTTTACTGTGAGAGTGATAGAGCACTGGAACAAGCTGCCCAGAGAGGTGGTGGAGTTTCCTTCTCTGGAGACATTCAAAACCCACCTGGACACATTCCTTTGCAACCTGCTCTGGGTGGACCTGCTCTGGCAGGGGGTTGGACTAGATGATCTCCAAGTCCCTTCCAACCCCATATGATTTTACGATTCTGTGCACTCGCATCTCCTGTGCCTGCCGGCCTGGGCTGTGCGGCCACTCAGGGCACCACAAACTTCGCGAGCTGCGTTACCCATTGACCCCTTACCGAGCACCGGGCCGGAGCAGCCAGAGCTCTGCACGGACTCCGAGCTCCCGGGGCTCAGCTCCCGCCCCACCATCCACCCCCGCACCCGGGCTCCCTCACCGTCTTACCCCCCTCTCCTCTGCCCCGCCGAGCCCACCAGCGCCCTCACCCCGGGGCGCACCCCCCGGGCCAGCCCCGCTCCCCTCCGCAGCCAGCGCGGCAGCGGGGCCTAGGCCGTGCCCGAGGAGACGGAGCCCCCTCCCGCCCCCGGACAGGCCCCGCCAGGCACACCGCGGGTGTCCTCGCCGCACCGCGACCGGCGGCGGGCTAAACATGAGGAGGAACTTCTTTACTGTGAGAGTGATAGAGCACTGGAACAAGCTGCCCAGAGAGGTGGTGGAGTTTCCTTCTCTGGAGACATTCAAAACCCACCTGGACACATTCCTTTGCAACCTGCTCTGGGTGGACCTGCTCTGGCAGGGGGTTGGACTAGATGATCTCCAAGTCCCTTCCAACCCCATATGATTTTACGATTCTGTGCACTCGCATCTCCTGTGCCTGCCGGCCTGGGCTGTGCGGCCACTCAGGGCACCACAAACTTCGCGAGCTGCGTTACCCATTGACCCCTTACCGAGCACCGGGCCGGAGCAGCCAGAGCTCTGCACGGACTCCGAGCTCCCGGGGCTCAGCTCCCGCCCCACCATCCC